CAACAACAACAACAACAACAACAACAACAACAGCAAAAACAACAACAACAACAACAACAACAACAACAACAACAACAACAACAACAAACCATACGAATACACAATTCACATCACAGAATAAATTGTTAGAAAACATCTGTAAAGAAGTACCCATGTGTTAATTGGAACTCCGATTCACAGACAGTGGATCAAAATAACGCCATCGGTACAGTTTACATATGTACTTATCAATCGTACTCCAATGAGTTTTGTGATTAAATATTTTTTTTAAAGAGTTTGGAAGAAGCATATTATATAATAAATACAACAAACAATCACAATTGTAGAGAGCTGAACACCGACAACAAACATTTCCAAAGATCCACAAATTATGATCCTTCATTGAAATGTTCTCTCTGTGTCCAGGATGGTGGTAAATTCACACGATAACAATTCAAATGGCTTGTTTGGTGACTGTTTCTTCCCCCGCCCCCAACCCCTCCTCGCCCGTCCGCCCCTTCCAAATATTCACAATTTACGAGACGAGCTTGTCTCGACCAATTATGTTCCTCCATTGATATGATCTATCTGTGTCCAAGATGGCGATAAATTCCTACGATAACAGTACAAATGACTGGACTGGTAACTTTTTCTTCTCTCCCCTTCACCCCCCCCCCTTCCCTAAGATTCACCAAATATGTTGACCCTCCATTGAAATGATTTATCTGTGTCCAGGAAGGCGGCGAATTTACACGATAACAATTCAAATGGCTGTTCTGACTACTGTTTCTTCTCTCCCTCTCGCCCAACCTCACCCCTCCGAAGATTCACCAAATACGATCCTCCGTTGAAGTGCGCAGTATCTATTCGGAGACGGCTCCGACGGAAATAGACCAATCAAAATGCTTTGTGCCTCTAGACCAAGTACAAAAATCTGGGCAGTTGTTTTAACCTATAATTTGATATTTTGCAGTTAAGTTTGAAATTTTCTTGAAAATAATTGATTTCCGAATGTTTTAGTGGCCATGTGTGTGATCTGCAGCAAATAATACTTAGTTTGACCTCCCAAAACATTGCATCTGTGTGCGGGACTGCGTCTCCGAATAGTTCCCGGGTGCTCACCAGAGACGTCTCCGAATATCTTCTGTTTTGAAAGTTGAAATTTCCGATCTGTGTCCCGGATGGTGGTAAATGCATACAGTAATCATTCAAAAGGCTGGTCCGCTAACCGTTTCACCCCCCCCCCAACTCTGTGTTTCAGTCGCTGGGCAAGTACCCCGTGTACAAAGAGCTGTGCGCCGAGTATACCTGGAGTGACGGCACCAGCCACACCACCCGCCAGCTGGACGCAATCGGAGGTGGACCCCCGAGCACTTTTTCAGGTCAGTTTAGGTCACTGGGAGGTATGAATGACTTATGTTTGCCCACCACTGAAAGCACAAAACCAATGTTATGGGTATCATTTATGAAAGGACACTTATTTGCGTCTCATAATTCGTGATATGATATTATACCTTGTTATACATTTTGTAAAGGGCACTGAATTGCATCATCAATACCTTTTTCACCCCGCACCACGGTATAGGCCGCGAACAAACACTTTCCACCTTTCTCTATCCTAGGCTAGCCTCTCCTTTTAATGTTATTCCATGATGTCTTCCCACTTTCCTGTAGTTCAGTTTCTGTGATTCTTCTCCAGGTTCCACGCAGTCTTCCATATGTTCCACGCAGTCTTCCCTTTGATCTTTCACCCTGTGGATTCCAATCCAACACTTTTTTTGCAATGCAGATCTACTTCATGAAATGATATTATACATGTACTTTTTTTATATGTTTTGTAACGTTTTACTACCTGTGGCTCCCAATGTCGTAGTAAATGGGGACTCTGGGACCCCTCCCCCTCCCTCCCTCCCTCACC